ATGAGGAGAGGGGGAGTCGGTCGGGCCTGTACTCATTGGGGTTTAGAGGAATGAGGGGCGACCTTATTGAAACAGACAGGGTTCTTGGGTGGGGGGGAGCCTGACAGGGGGAGGGGTTGTTACCCCCTTGTGTGGGAGAGTCTAGGACCAGAGGGGGCATCATCTCAGAGCGAGGGGGTCGCCCACTGAAGACGGAGATGGAGAGGAATTTCTTCTGTCCGAGGGGGGAGTGAATCTGTGGAATTCTTTACCGCAGAGGGGGCGCTGTCGAGGCTGGGTCAGAGGATATTCAAGGCTGAGACACAGAGATCAGGAAGGGAATTCAGGGTTATACGAAAAAGGCAGGAAAGTGGGATTTGAGGATGATCAGAGAGGGAGATGAAGTAGAGAGTGAGGAGCATGGATTAAGTTAGACTGTTTCTGGAGTAGGATTAACAGTTACTGTGATTAACAGTTCCAAAGGGAACAGCAACGTTGCTTATTCACCTAATTTCCCGACATCCACGATGTTCCGGGATTCATCATCGAAGAAGATCATGTCAGAGAACTGAAGTCCAGTCGCCTGTTTGATCCTGTATAATAACATGATAGCAGAGTCAGAGCCAGCGAGGGGGGAAAGCGGGGCTTGGGCAGCGGGAGCGAGTGAGGGGGGAGAGCGGGGCTCGGGCGGCAGGAGCAAGCGAGGGGGGACAGCGGGCGGCGGGAGTGAGCGAGGGGGGGAGGGGGGCGGGGGCAGGGGGGGCGAGCGAGGGGGGGGGAGGGGGGGGTGAGCGAGGGGGGAGTGCGGGGCTCGGACAGAGTGCTGGGGTCAGGAGGATGAGAGAGAGAAAAACAGCGCTGAGTGCACATTTGGGACGGATGTCATAGAGAGCAGAGTCAGAAGCAGTAGGGAGCGAGAGAGAGAGCGAGCCGTGGGGCAGAGAGCAAGGGAGGACGAGAAGACGCCAGCCTTTCTGGAGAGGACGTGTCAAACCTGTTCCCACGTCTGTGATCCCCTCCCACACCCAACGAAGGCTGGGTCCAACGTGACCATTCACGGGTCAATGGGAAGGCTGCTAACGCTCACTGTAGGCAGTTTGTGGCATCTTTTGTGGCAGAGAGACTTTGGATGCCGTTCCGAGAAAGTCAGCTCGGTCGATCCCCACCCCCACAAACCCAGGACGAAGGTTTGTGGGGGTGGGGGGTGGTTTGTCTCATGAGGAGAGATTGAGCAGTTTGGGCCTGTGCTCACCGGGGTTTAGGGGGAACGAGAGCTGAACAATCCTGAGTGGGGGGTGTACATTGGCAGCGTTGGTGCCGAGGGGATGTTCTCCACAGCCCCCCCCGCATCGTGACGTGTGGGGATTCAGTTTAAAAATGAGGTGGGGGGGTGGGGGGGGGCTGATGTCCCATTGGAGAGGCAAATGAGGAGGAATTTCTTCCCTCAGAGGGTCGGTGGAAGTCTCTCGCCCAGAGAGAACTGGGGTGGCTGGCTCACTGGGTATATTCAAGGCCGCGTTTTTGGCGGGGGGGGGGTGTGGAAACAGTCAGGAGGATGAGTGGACGAGGCGGCAATCCGATCAGCTATGATCTTATCAGATGGCAGAGCAGGCTCGAGGATGTGAAAGATTTTTTTTTGCTCTGGTTCTTGTTTTTTTTAAAAAGAAAGCAACGTTACCCCTGGGGGGGGGGTCTTTAGACGCGTGGAATAAAAGGTGAACGGGATCCGTCGCTGTCTCCCGATCCCCGTGGAAATGGCCATTCCCCATTGAGAGGGGGCGGGGGGGCCTGATTACTAACCTTTCGAAGTGAGTGACTTTGCAGCCCGGGTATATTTCCTTTTGGCTGAAGTAGGCATCGAGCTGGAAGAGGCTCAGCAGCTGATTGGCTCCTGCGACTTCGCCAGTGCTAGGAAGAGAGAGAGCGGGTGGACGTGAGCCCCGATACAAAAATTTACTGACACCCTTCACGATGCCAGATACATCCGCGCTGGGGGGAAGCTAGGGTCCTCTTACACAGACACGCACGCGCGCGCCCACACACACACAGGCGCATGCACGTCTGCACACGCAGATGGCCTGGGTACAGGCAGACAGGGTACAGGTCTGAGCGGTGGACAACGGGGAACACAGTGGACGAGAGGCATCGGGGTTTTCAAGAAGACACTCGACCACGTGCCGCACAAGATAAAGGGGTCACACAGGCAAACGTTTGGGCGTGGATCGACAGGAAGCGAGGAGTGGGGATAAGTGGGTGTATTTTACTGGTTGGCGGTGCGCCTCGGGGGGGAGGGTTCGGTGTTGGGACCACCATCGCTTATGATGGACATTGATGATTCAGAGTTTGGGGAGCGTGCGTAGGGTTCGTGGGTGACGTGGAGATGAGAGGTGGAGGAAAGCATGCAGAGGACACTGAAAGTCTGCAGAGGGATAGAGGCAGGTTCAATGAGCGGGCAAGGGGTCTGGCAGATGGAATAGATTGTTAGTTAATACCAGACCATCTGTTTTAGTAGGAATAACAGCAAAATGGACTATTAATGGGTGTTTTTGTGCACGAACCACAAAAAGTTGATTTGCCGAAAGCAGCAGGTCATTCAGAAGGCAAATGGAATATTTGTCCTTCATCGCTAGAGGGATGGTGTTCGAAACCAGGGAGGTTATGCTGCATCTCCACAGGGTGCTGGTGAGCTGGAATAACTGTCTACAGTTTTGGTCTCCTCACTTGAGAAAGGATGGGGGGTACAGGGGAGGTTCACTG